TCGTGCGTAGCGACGCCAACCTCGCCGACTTCTTCACGAAGCCGCTCAAGCCCAGACGGTTCTTCGAGCTTCGTGACAAGATCATGAACATCAAATCTCCGGTCATGAATATCACGTTCCCTAACGCATCGTGATCCGAGAGTGCACGGTTACTCGACTATGTCGTTACTCGACTAAGTCGAGGGGGGGGACGTCGGGCCGAAGCCCGTCAGGCACTCTCTCCCTAACCCTAGCCTTCTCCCGAACCCTAGTGTGTTTTGCTGCCCCCGTGCTTTCACACTCGTCTTGTCGTGTCCGTCCACTGTGATTGCGGCCGTCCACGACTACGTCGTCTCTAGAGAACGTATCAACCCCCTTCTGGTGCCGACCGCGCCCCCGCGGGGCACGGCCGGACGGTGGGACTGGGACGGTGAGTGTCCCACGGCCACGCCTACGTTAGCTCTCAATCTCCTGTCGGCCATTCTTTGTTTCTGATTCTGAGTTTTGTTGTAAAATTCTAATTCTGATGTTCTCATCCCACATCCGCCCTCTCTCTGCTCCACCATTGATTGCGATTCCTGCTCTCCTTGTTACACACTGCAATCGACACTCGCACATGCTGTACACCCCCTAAAGCCGTAAGCAGCGGCATATAGGTCTAGCCCGGCTCGCCACATCCTAGTCAAGCGCCCGTTGGCGCACCTCCCGCACGAGATCATTCATCCCTCCCCCCCTGGGTCACGTCAATGGTGCATCCCCGCGCCCCCGCACCGCTGCGCCGCTGCGCCGGAAGAGTCCGCCTCGCCTCGCTCCCCCCTTTTCCCTGGCTGCGCGGCGTCAGGTAGAGTCTGATCGCGCGGCGTAACGTACTAGGCCAGCTCTCCCTCGCGGAGATTGAGCTCGCCCGTTGGCGAGGCGCGCGGGAGGGTCGACGACCTTGGCGCACCTTGGCATCAGAGGCTCTCACACGCTCCGACGACCATGCACGGCCATCGGAGGCGCCACGTCGGCGGCAGCTGTCGGTCTCGGTGCGGGGCCGCTGCCTCGAACGACGGTGGCAAAGGAGGGCGGGTCGATGCCCCGAGCAGTGTCAATGGCAAGCGCCGAGACGACCGCGATGTCCTTGGCAACGTCTTCGGTCGGAACCGCTGCCGTGCGGCGGCGCTCCGCAACGCGTCCATTGGGCGTGTGCGAAACGCCCTCACTTGCTTGGACATTCCGGCGGCGGCGCCAGACGCAGAGCGCGCCGATCGCAAGAAACGCTGAGGCCGCAGAAGCGGCGGCGATCGCCACGGCCCCCGTGGCCATGCGAGACGACGAAGCGCTTGGGCCGTTCGACGACAAGAAGACTTCGCCATTCCCAGCCGGGCCCGCGGGCGAACTTGGTGCCGGCGATGGTGGCGGCGATGGCGACGGAGGAGGCGCCGGCGACGGCGCCGGCGCCGGCGACGGTGGCGGCGATGGCGACGGTGGCGGCGATGGCGACGGTGGCGGCGATGGCGACGGAGGAGGCGGCGATGGCGACGGAGGAGGCGATGGCGACGGAGGAGGCGGCGATGGCGACGGAGGAGGCGCCGGCGACGGAGGAGGCGCCGGCGACGGAGGAGGCGAAGGTAGTGGCGGCGACAGAGGCGGGGCCGGCGGGCCAGGCGGAAGGGACCACACTTGGAAGCTTCCTGGCGCAGCGCCTGCCGCCCTCTCGAGCGCTGCGGGGTAGTCTGGAGCGCTGACGGTTGCGAGGAGCAGCGCGCCTTGCTCCTCGGTAAGGAACGTGAGCGCGATGGTGATGTTGGTCCAGCCGGGCGAGGTCTCGGGCGGTGTGATGCCGGTGAGCGTAAGCGTGTGCACCATGTCAGGAGCCGTCGCCGCCACGATCGCCGCGTAGATCGTTGACAGCTCGCCATCGAGCGCCACGGCGTCGGCGAGCTGGCGCCGGGACGGAACCTTTGGCAGAGGCGTCATGACGCCAACCTCAACGCGAAGCGTGGTCACGGGTGGGAGCGCCGGCGCCGGTGGCGGGAGCGGCGCCGGTGGAGACGGGTCTGGCGGAGACGGTGGTGGTAATGGCGGCGGAGGCGACGGCGGTGGTGGCGGCGGCGACGGCTGCTGGGACGGAGGCGGCGGGGCGGGCGAAGGCGGAAGGCGTGGGGCCGGCGGCGGCGCGGGGCTCGTAAGACTCTCGCAGAGGAAAGGGAGAACTGCCGACGCGACGTCCGCCGCGCTTGCCTCGACAAAGGCATGCTCCTCTAGCGGACGCGAGGCCATCGCGCCCAGGACATTCGCGTCGGCCTCGCCAAAGCCGGCGGCGACGACGAGGTAGCCGGCGGCCTTGAGCTGGCCAGCCTGTGCGATGGCCTGCTCGTCGCCGCCATAGTCGGGCTGGTTGGACCCGTCGGTGAGCATGACGACTGCGCCGCGCCGCGGGTTGCCCGTCGCCTCGTTCTGCGCCTCGCGGGCCAGGTCTAGGGAGTCCTTGGCCAGCGCGAGCGCGTCCACCATGTTGGTGCCGCCGGAGGACGTCGCCGAGAGGCAGTAGCGAGAACCGCAGTCTTCGCAGTCCCGGCCAAGGCCGCACACGGAGAAGCTTGACCCGCTGCCGCCATCGTCGCATTGGCCATCGTGGGCATGCCAGCAGGTGTCGTCGCACCCGACGTCGCACTGCGGGTCGTACGACTCGATCTCGCTGAGCAGCTCGACCTCGCTCGAGCCGAGAGGCGCGACGACAGCGGCGGTGTCGGAGAAGTAGATGAGCCCGATTTGCGCCGCGTCGGGGCCGACGAGGAAGTGATTGACGAGGGAGCCGGCGAAGCTGCGGACTGCGGCTTCGGTGCCCGCAGGCGAAGCCGGCCACGAGTCGGCCATCGATGCCGAGCGGTCGAGGATGAGCACCAGGTCGAGCGGCGCGTCGCACATTGGCGGCGGTGGCGAGAGCGGGCCGGGCGAGGGAGGGGGTGGTGGCGGTGCTGGGTCAGGCGAGGGCGGCGGCGGCGGCGGCGGAGACGGTGGTGGAAATGGCGGCGGCGGCGGTGGCGGTGGTGGCGACGCCGGCGACGGTGGTGGTGGGCCGGGCGAGGGCAGCAGCGGGGTCGGCGACGTTGGTGGTGGGCCGGGCGAAGGCGGCGGTGGCGACGGCGGAGCCGGCGACGGTGGTGGTGAAGGAGGGTGCATCCACTGCGTGCTGACGACCACCGATTCTCCAGGGCCGCCACCGAGCGGGATCGACGTGGGCGTGGGAGTGACGTCCGTGAGGCGTACAGTGGCGACGCCGGAGAAGTCGTCCGAGGAGGGCCACGAGTCGTCGTCCCACAAGTAGAATCCGGCAAAGTCACCGACCTGTGGAGGCCAGGGCGGGGCGGATAAGAAGCGCAAGCCGTGCGGCGTCGGAGGGCCATCCCAGTGGCTCGGTCGGACAATCGCTACGGGCGCACGTTCGCGTTGAATTCACAGCAGAAGGGCGGAGACCAGCGCGGCGTGCGGTCGTTCGAGATCGTGCTGGAACGGCAATGCTCGTAGCAGACGCCTCCGCTGCAGCGCTTGACGATGACGTAGGAGTCAGGCCAACTAAACCAATCCTCCCAGGCGCCGAGCGACGCAGAGTGGACGCAGGCCTTCAGCATGGCTGGTGGTTGCGGACGACGCCCGTTGGGCGGTGCCGAGAGACAAACCGATCGCCACGAAACCAGGCTGCTCGAACAACCCGCCGGATTGTTGCGGCCATTCCGAGCAATGAAGAACTCAAAGCAGCACGACACTGGGCACGGGACTGGCGCATTAGTATAACCGTGTACGAGAATTAGTTCAACTGTGAACGGGGATATGTGCGGGACTCCGGCTTGCCTTCTGCCCTGTTTGTCGGCCCTTGCGAGACGCTCTTTCTGAGGCCCAGCCTGCAGATCCTTCTTGATGTCGTCGAGACGGCGGCGTGGTGCGATGGACGACCACGAGGAAGAGGAGGAGGAGGACGATGAAGACGAGGAGGAGACCGTCTCCTTCGATGGAGCCGTCGAAGCGTGGAACATGGACGGAAGCTCGGACGCTCAAGCTGAGAGCGGATCATGGCTCCGAGACGCGGAGGAAGCGACCGGGCGAAGGCGAGGGCGGTGCTCGTTCGACGGCTGCCCCAACCAGGCCGAGGTGGGCGGCCACGTGTGGATTAGAGGCGAGGGTTGCTTCATCGCGCCCATATGTAGGCCGTGCAATCGGCACGACAACCCTGAAAGGATGCAGGGCGCGGGTGCCTGCCTTCGCGCGAACATCGTGGTGACGAAGACCGCGATGACGGAAGGGATGCGGAACGCTGAGCGCAGGATCGCGGTCGGTGGCGGCGGTGGCGGCGACGGCGGCGGCGGCGGTGGCGGACGCAGCGGCGGCGGACGCAGTGGAGGCGGACGCAGCGGATGCGGACGCGGACGTCGGTGCGATTCCTGCGACGACGATATCTCTGACAGGCCAGCAAACCATTCGTTGTGTTATCAGTGTTGGTCTGGTGGCAGTGGCGGCGGCGGACGTAGTGGCGGCGGCGCGCGCGGACGACGGTGCGAGTCGTGCAGCTACGACATCTCTGACAGGCCAGCCAGCCACCGGTTGTGTATTGACTGTTGGTCCGGCGGCGGACGCAGCGGCGGCGATGGGCGAGGTGGGCGCAGGGGAGGCCGCACTTGCGATGATTGCGGCGTCAGCATCGCTTACGCCCCAGCCACGCACAGGTTCTGCCGAGATTGCTTTTAGCTCCGCTGTGTGTGCACATTCTGTAAACCTGTGCACACACAGCACATTCTGCTGGAAAAGCCTGCTCGTGTCCAATCGTCCCAGTCTCTCCGTTCTCCGTTCGTCCTCCTTTTCCCGTGCTCAGATGAGGCCAAGGGAGGGATGGGAGGACGGCACGCCGCCACCACACAGGGATTTTAAGGAGAGGTGTGTGATGCGCTAGCCGTCGCCCACAATATACCTAAAACCCTAGGGAGCAACCCGTGCTCAGTGTCGTGCGGTCGAGTCGTGTTTTTATCTTTCGCCCAGGCACTCTCAGAACACCGTCGGCAATGGAGCCGCGAGGCTCTGCTGCACTCTCCGACACGCCGTACACGCTCTTCGCCAGCAGCAGTGACGGCCGCCGGGCCGGTAGCTGGCCGTACCTCTGCACACTCCTCGCTGTGCTCCTGGGCACCGGCGTGCACGCGTCCAAGGAGGCGCTCGTGCCGAGCGAGAAGTCGCTCGAGGCGCTCGGCCTCTCCCCGGTTTGCTATTCGGCGCTCACCATCACGCCCGTGGCTCTCGGTATCGTCACGCCTCTCGCGTGGGGGCGGCTGTGGGACACGAGGGCGGCGCTTGTCCTAGTTGGCGCTCCGCTCGGCGAACTGGTCGGCTCGGGCCTCACCGCCTGCGGGCTGCTCGCGCTCGGCGCCAGGAACAGCCCCGCCGCCGCCGCCGCCATACTCGCCGGCCTGGTCGCCTCGTCCGCCTGCCGCGCGGGCATCACGATCGCCGAGTTCTCGCTGGTCGGCCGCGTCTGCGGCAGGAACGCGGCGGCTGGCTTTGGCGCGCTGGTGGTCGCCAAGCACGGAATGGGCTCGCTGATGTCGTGGGCAGTTCCCATTTTGCTCGGCGAAGGCGCGCTGAGAGCCCCGGATTGCCACTCCCCTCGAGAGTACCCGGACACGTCCTCGAGAGTGACTGTTGCTTGGTACTGTGACTGTTGGTGGTGGTGTGAGGGGAGGGGCGTGAGCGGTGGTGTGTGCGGTGGTGTGTGCGGTGGTGGTGGTGGTGTGAGGGGAGGGGCGTGAGCGGTGGTGTGTGCGGTGGTGTGTGCGGTGGTGGTGGTGGTGTGAGGGGAGGGGCGTGAGCGTGGCCCGCCCTCCGAGACGGCGCTAGAGGCGGACATGTTCCTCTGTCAGGCGCGCTCGGCGTCGCGCCGTTGCTCTCCCTGCAGCTCCTCCTCCTCGCCCCCCACGCCATCGCCGTCTGCTCGGGCGCAGCTGTTGGACCCGCTGGCGTCTCCGCGCCTCTGCCTGATGGCTCAGCCTCCGATTCCTTCTCCCAGGCGCAGCCCTTTCCGTGTTGCACCGTCCGGCGGCGGGAGAGGGCGGCGGCGGCGATCTGCCTGAGGTGGCCTCGAAGCTGCTAGAAGGCAAGGTGCTATGAGAGGGCGAACACAGCTGCACGGCGAGAGGTGTGAAGAGACGCTGCTCACAGCAGCCGGTTGTGCTGCAGGTTGGGACGCTTCACGCATACCACTCCGTGCGCGCGCGCAGCTCGCGGCGAGCACCCAAACGTCTCAGGGACGTACGGGTGAGGCGTGAATCCACGGTAGGTGCGCGTGCAGCTCGCGGCGAGCATGGGCAGTCTCTCGACCCGGAGCGCGGGCGCGCTCCTCGCTTCGAACGACCTCGTCGCCATCGCGCTGCTGCCGCTGCTCGTCCTAGAAGCGGAACACGCAATCTCGTCACCTCACCCCCACCTCCCACGCCACCGCCTCCATCGCCGCCACCACCACCCCCCTCACCGCCGCCGACGCCGCCACCACCCTCGAGCCCCGTCCACACCGTTCACGGCTCGAGGTGTGCCATCGCGCTGCTGCCGCTGCTCGTCCTAGAAGCGGAATACGCCGTCTCGTCTTCCTAGTAGCGCTCGAGAGGACGCGTCTTGAACCGCATTCGGCCGTGTTCAACTGCGTTCGCTCATGTCGTAGCCCCTCGTATTCCGCGGTGATTGGCGCTTCTTGCACAAGCTCACCGCACCCCGAGGGTGCCAAACAACAACAGACACTTATGGCTCTCTGATGCCCAATGCGTGCACTCGTCCCTCTCTGTATGTGTGGGTTCGTGTGTGCGGGGGCCCTCCTTGTCTCTGCCCAGGCAGTGTGAGGTAACACCTACCTACCTACCTACCTACCTAGGCTGCTCATGCTCTCCTCGCGCTCGCTCAACGGGCTGCGCGCGCTGCTGGTGGCGACGCCGGTGGCGAGCGCGGTCGCGGTGGCCGTGCTGCTGCTCAGGGCGCGATATCTCCCGAGATCCGCCGAGATCCACCGAGACTACACGATATGTGTGTCTCTTAGCGTCATCGCCGCGGAGCTGGAAGCAGCGCCGGGCGATGACGGCTTACCGCCCCCAGCCCCCCCCCCCATCGGCACAGCCCGGCCGCCAATGAGAGTGAGGCCCGTGCTGCTGCTGCAGGTGCGCAGCCACGGCAGCGTGCACGCCGAGCTCTTCGCGCTCTCCCTCCTCGAGGTTGGCGCTCCCGTGGTTCCGCTCGCGCTGCTGCCGCGCGCAAGCCGTCGGGCGGGCGGCGGTTTCGGCGGCCGAGATGGGGACACGGATCTCGGCCAATCTCGGCCAATGGATGGAGCATCTGATCACACACAGACAATCACAGGGGCAAACATGGGCGGCTGTGGGCGAGGGGAACGGAAGACTCTGAGAGGAGAGGGGAGGAGAGGAGAGAGGAGAAGAGGAGAGAGGAGGGGAGAGGAGAGGAGAGGAGAGGAGACTGGTGAGAGGAGAGGAGAGGAGAGGGAGAGGGAGAGGGAGAGGAGGGGAGAGAAGCGGAGAGAGGAGAGGAGTGGAGTGAGAGGAGGGGAGAGGAGGGGAGAGGAGGGGAGAGGAGAGGAGAGCCAACGTCAGCTGTGGATGCTCTAGGGTACACACACACACACACACACACACACACACACACACACACACACACACACACACACACACACACACACACACACCGCTCACCCACGCGCACCGGGCCTTGCACTTTAAATGCCGTGGGGCTCCTGTCGTTAGACGTGGAGACGCGAGGGTTGCCCCCCCTTGCCCCACCACCTCGTGTGTGTGGAGAAGTTTACCTTACCTTACCTTACCTTGCTCTAGGGTGGGTGCCAAGCGACCGACTGGGCACGGCATACGGCACAATCGAGACTCTCTTCATCCTCATGCAAATCACGATCACGATGCTGCTCGGGGTGCACGCTCCGTCGACTCGGAACGGCGGTACCAGTCACCGTTGACGGAGCAGTAGTTGTGAATTCGTCATAGGTGCTCCGCTCCGTCGATTCGGACGGCGACGGCATCCCCGACGCCGAGGACCCCGACGGAAAGTGGCGTTTCGTCGGGCCGCTGAGCCTGCTCGCGGGCGGTTTTGCCGGCGCGGCAGTGGTGTCGGTGCTCCTCCTCGAGCGAGTCGGCGGGGGGGCGGTTGTGCGGGGGAGCGACGCCGACCGCGGTTGCCAGCCGTGCTTGGCAATGATCGGCCGGACGCCCTCGTGTGGTGAGACTGAGAGTGGGGCAGCACGCGCGCGTATTTAGCGAGAGTAACGCGACCGGTCCCCGATCAGACAGTGTTATTTACGTACCAAGGTATGCAAAGAGTGAATGCAGACAGGGTCAGGGAGATAGAGGGACCCCGTACGGGACGATCGTGTCGTGAGACACTGTGTCTCCCCAGCAGTCAGGCCCGCCCGGGGGAACGGCGGTTTGGGGATTTTTGGTGGTTGGGGTAAACACCTCACGAGACCGGGTGCGGGTCAGGCTCCACGCCCCACCACTCTACACGCTAGAACGCCTGGTCGCAGCTCGTTCGCCGCGGGGGCTCGTGCTTCCGCTCGTGATGAAGAGCTGAGCCACGTCCTGGTCTCGGCAACGCTGCCGCGGTCGATGTGGCGCCAGCAACACGGGTGGCGAGCGGGCGGCGGGCGGCGAGCCGCCTTCACCTCTCCAAGCCTGTGTGCTTGGCGGGGCGTACACGCCCGGGGAAGGGCGCCCGCGGCCAAACCCAACCGCGCGCGGCGCCGTCGGCGGCGATGACGGTCGAGCTACTCCCAGGGGCGCACTTGCCTCGAGGTCCGCGAGCTCGGCTTCGGCGTCCAAGGAGCTCCACCTCCGTCCAAAGGAGTGGTCCGTCACAGTCCAGGGCGCGATGTCAGCGGCCAAGGACTGATGCGTGTTCTGCACGTGCCACTCCGTCAGCGCCTCGAGCCTGTCACGCGCCGCCTCGGCATAGTCGTCGTTGACCATCTTGGCGCGTGCTGTGTGAGGCACGCGCACTGGCTGCGCGTCTCTCCTCCTCTCCCGCGCCCGCAGCCGAGGCAGCTGGGGAAGTGGGCTCTGCGGCAGGGGGCTCTGAGGCGAAGTCGCTGGGGAGACGCTCTCGTCGCTGGCGCTGGTGCTTGCAATCGAGGCGCCATACTTTGAGCCCGCATACTGCGCAACATTCAGCAGCGGAGGCACCCGGTTCCTGTCCCCCGTGCGAAGCCCAGAGAGCGTCAGCACCAAGTGGCCGCTTAGCTGCCTTAAAGCGCTGAGCGCACACCCCACCAGCTTCTCGCGGTCGCCGGACGCGGACGCGAGCATCGCAGCGAGCACGTCGAGCTGCCGCTGCGCTGCTGCGAGCTCTGCGTGCAGCCCGTCTGTCTCAAGCACCGACGGCCTCGAGTCCGCCTTCCCTCCGCCCAGGCCCAACAAGACCTTGAGCCTCGCCACCTCCGCCTCCAAGTCGGCCACCCGCCTCTGATCCGCCGCCGCCAGCGCCGCCGCCGCCGCCGCCTCTTCGGCGGCTGTCGCCGCCCACTCCTGCTCGTCGCTCACCTCCGGCGAACCCCTAGGTTCCTCCTCCTTTGCGTCGACATCCATCTTTGCGGCGGTTGGCTGCCCCGCGGCGCGCTCCGCCTTCACCTCGACAACGTCAGGCGATGACCTTTGCTCTGCGGCTACGGGCTCCGTCTGGGTCGCCTGGGTCGCCTGCACCGCAGCCGCGGAGCCTGTCTGCCCGTGGCATGTGTCAGCCGCAACCACCCCTTTGACTGCAGAATCCGGGGCAGACACCGCCATGGCCTGTTCAAGCTGCTCAGTGAGCGCTCGTAGCTGAGCCTCCAGCACGTCCCCCTTCGCTGTCGCCTCTGCCAAGTCTGCCTGCATGACCTGCACTTGCTCCAGAGCTGTCTGTGTCGCCTGCTCCGCGGACGCCATTGCAGCCTGGTGCTGGGCGGCGAGGGTCTGCACCGCCCTCTCCTCCCTCTTCGCTTGCCCCTCCATCTGCTGTTGCAGGCGCTCGACAGCTGTCTTGGCACGCTGCTCTGTTGCCGCCGCCTCCGCCTGCGCTGCCGCCGCCACAGTCCTGGCCTTTGCGAGCTCTGTTTGCAGCGCGTCCACCAGCGTGCTGAGGTCTTTAGCCTGTTGCGCCCGCGAACGTAGACCATCACTGTACAGCGCCGCCGCCTTGTGCACGATCCCAAGCTGTTCCCCCTCTTCTGCTCCTATCAAGTGCTCAAGTGCTCAAGATCACCCGAGCGAGAGCAGCTGAGTCTGCCTCTGGCCTCGCCTCCCTCTCCTTCAGGCTCGCTATCGTGGCATCCTATGGGCCGTCCAGACTATCGACCTCTGGCTAGTCAGCCAGCCCCACTCTGAGTGAGGGCGCCATGTGAAGTACAGCGATCGCTACTCGAGTAACTCGCAAAACACTGGTGTTGCTAAAAATCTCTCTCTCTCTCCCAACTCGCTGGTCTCTCCGCAAGGCCTCTCCCCTCGACCGCGTCGAATCTCCACACAATCTTTTTATTTTTTACTTCTTGGGAACGGCGTTCCTTTGAAGCCGACGGTCGGGTTCTCTCGACCGTCCTCGTCGGTGTCCTAGTCGATGGTAGTCTCGTCGCCTGCCAGAGCCACCTTTTGGCTCGGCCTCGTCTCAACGATCGCCGCCTTCGTGGCGTTCCATCTCACCGCTTCATACGGGCCGAGACATTCTGATCCGCGAGAAGGTCCGAGCGACGCGACATTCGCAGGCGCCGCTGCCCTCTTTGCCGTCTTCAGCGCAGTGCGGCTGCTCGTGCCGATCATCACTCCCACGCGCTCGCCCTTTCCTGTCGAGAGCACCCGCTCGGCGATGGACCTCGCGCTCGCTCGCATCCTCTTTCTGCTCATCTACGCGCAGAATGTGAGCTTCCGCAGCACGCCAGTGGCACTCACTGCAGGCAGCCATTCTATCAAGACAGGCCTGTGGGGCGACCTGGCGACCTGGCGCACAGAGTGGGTCGACGCTGCGTGGTGGGAGCCGCATGCGATTCCACTGCTAGTGGCGTTTGCGATGGCCGGCGGCCCCTGCACCCAGCCTTGCTTCTTCCTTCTTGCCGTCCTCGAGGTTCGCTCGCACGTGCTTATGCAGACACACGAACCGGGGTACTTTGGGCACCATAATGGACACCTGTTCCCACCAGCGCTGCTGGTGTTTGCTTTTGCGCCAAGTGGCGACGCCCTCAACCTGTGCTCGTATTTGACCCGCGAGACAAGGCCACCCAGAGCGTCCCAGAGCGTCAAACGCCCAGAGTACACCGTCCCGTTCACCGCTCTTCTCTTGATCATCGCGAACGCCTACTTGTCCGCTGCTATACCAAAGCTCGTAAACTGCGGGGCTACGAGTACTTACACCTGGCCATTTAGCGCGACCTTTTGGTCGACTGGTATGATGAGCGACATCATTCGCACCGAATACTTCAGAAAATGCGATGGTTATGCCTGCCTCGACCCAAGCGCGGTCCGATGGAGGCCGCTCTGCCTTGACACACTGGGCGGCTTTGTCGCGTGGGCGTGGTCAAGCGTCTTTGGTGACGGCTCGGCCCCGCGCCCCGGTGTTCACGCCGCGTGCCTTCTTGGTGACTCGTACCTGAACCCCGCACTGCGTTTCGACCAGCTGCCCCCAATCATGCTCAGGGCGGCGGCCCTGAGCGCCGTCATTTGGGAAGCGGGAATGTGGCTCTGCGTCCTACACAAAGGCCCCCCACGCTGGCTCTCCGTGTGCACTGCCTTCCTGTTCCACCAAGGAAACCTCTGGATGACCAACATTCGATTCTACGACTTCGCCGACATGTACATTGTGTGGATGCCCTGGGCAGCGCTTCTAGGACTCATCCTCCGCGGTCGCACCGAAGCCAGCGACCACAACATCGCCGATGATGGCGAGCAGCGCACCAGCATGCTGGCTGGCGAAGAGGCTTCGGACTCCTTGGAAGCGGACTCGGGCAGGCCACAGCGATGCTCAAGCATGGCAAGCAGCAGAGGGAAGCGGTCGCAACTTTTGGTGGTGATATTCTCCATTGTGTGGGGCACTCTTCGCCTTCGGCCCGGTATCGCAGAAAGCGGCTCGTACCCGCTCGCAAGGTTCCCCGAATTTTGTCGGGCAAACTACCCCGTGGCGGGGGATGGCTCTTTCCTACGCGAGGTTCGCCTCCTCGCAGCAAGTGCAACACAGCCGCGCGAGTTTGCTCTCCTCGCACGGGTGCCCCTCTACAAACGGGTGGGGAAATTTCCAGCCCACCTCGGCTCTCCCTCGAAAGTGCACGCTGACAGGGAGGACGTTTGTGAAGAAGGTCACATGGAAAGTGCCGTTGGCCACCTTCTCCATGAGCTCCCCTCCCTCGGCTTGGCAAACTGGACGGCAGTCACGCATGCGCAGTTCGTCATCATGAGATTTGCCCTCGATAGCAGCTCGTCTTTGCGCTCCCAGCTCGACCGTAGCAAGAATGTGCGCCTCGTCATTCTGGTCGATCTGAATCTCGACAAGTTTCACTACTCCCATCTGCCCTTACAACCAGCATACCCCTCAACCTTTGCGGCCGACAGCGGGGGCCTTTTGCCACCTGCAGCGGCAGACTCACCTGCCTGGGTGCGTGCTTGCCCGCGCGAGAAAAAAACGCATTGGCGCACGTGTTCTGTTCGCAAAGGACCAGATCCGGCGAAACCAGCAAAGGTCAAGCTGCAGAAGGTAAACAAGTCGCTGGCATCGCGCGTGTGGCACATGTGTGCCCCGCCCTGCCGACACACTTGTGTAACATGACAATCTGAGGCGGTGCTGGACGCGCCGCTTTGTGGGGGACTAGCTGCCGCGCACAGGCCTGCACCGGCACCACCGTCGCCGACACAGCTGGACACTAGGTTTGTCGGCGCGTCAGCGCCGAAAAGAATTGGGAATTGGTTTTTTCTCCCTTCCTCTGGCCCGCCGAGCTCTCCCTGTCCTGGCGGCCGTGACTCATCTGCTTCGGGCGCGCTGCTCCTCGAGGATGGTGAGAAGCGGCAGAGGTGATGCTCATAGCTTCAGCTAGCCCCACATGCCCCGTTGGCCCCACTGCGTGCCGCGCTCCGTGTATGTGGGAGCTGTAAAGAATAAAGGTAACAATAACCGTAATAGCGTGGCCGACCCCCGAACCGTCAGCGTCATGTGTGCACAGCTGTGTTACGTCGAGCGTCGTCCATCGACACCGGCGAGCATTGCAGCCGTCAGCTCAACAAAGTCCCTTCTCGTTGGGCCTTCGCCCCGCACGAAAGAGCGCAAACAGAGCGCCTCTACTTTCTCTAGGTCAAGAGAGGCCCTAAACTGCGCCGTGAGCT